GATATTTGGGAAATTGCGCCAAGTAAGGTACAATCAAAAATATGGGTGTCTCAGCTCGGAACGGAACACATTTTCACCGCACCCCTTCATAAGTTACGTGAATAGAAGAATCATGGTTTAGACCAGCTAGCAAATATATTTCCTAATTAAATTAGATTACTTAATTTGGATAATAACTTTATATAATTGATGTGTGATTGGAATAATGGGTTTTTTTTTGATTTCATTATGGTAATAATTAATATCCTAATTTTAAGGTAGTTTGAAACCTTTTTTACAAGCATTTATGCTAGCATTTGAACTAAGACTCTCTTTAAATTGACTTAAAACATTAAGATTATTTTGTAATATATTCTTTGAGAGGAGAAGACTCTGAAGAAGACCAGGATTTAAAGGATTACAAGAGGAATATCAGAGAAAGAAGGAAAAAAAAAGAAGGAAAAAGACAGAGAGAAAGGAGAAAAAAAAAAGGAAGAGAGAGCACAAAGAAGAAAAGAAAAGAGAAGAAAGGAAGAAGTTTTTGAGAAGAGAAAGAAGAAAGAGAGAAAGAAAGGGAGAAAAGGGAGGAGAGGAAAAGGAAGAGGGAAGGAAGAAGAAAAAAGGGAAAAGAGAAAGAGTGAGGAAGAAAAGAAAGATGAAAAAAAATAGAAAATGAGAAAAAAAAACAGAAAGAGGAAAGGAAGGAGAGAGAGGAGGAGAAAAAAAAAAAAAGAGAATATATTGAGAGGAGGGAATGAGACAAAGAAAGGAAAAAAAAAAGAAAAATGATTTATTTTTATGTTGCTTAGGAGGAAAATTTCTTTGGGGGGGGGGGGGGGGGGGGGGGGGGGAAATTCCCAAAGAAAGAAGAGAAGTAGATTGTTTCGCATAACACAGTCATATGATCATCATAGGTAGAAAACCACAACCACAAACATGCTTAAGGTGATCTAACTTAAACAAATCCCATTTTACAAACTACACTCCCTTCAACATCTCCCCTTTCTTTTTTCTTCCTATTTTATTTTTAATGAAGTTAGCCTTTTGTGGTTGATATGTTTGTTGTAACTTTCTAAATTGGAATATTATTGAGGTAGATGAAATACATTTTGTTTTGTTTTTCTTTTGGATGTATTGCTGTGTGGTGTGTTTGTTGTGTTGGTGTGTTGTTGGTGTGTTGTGTGATTTATGCTTATCTATATATTTGTCTCCGAATCAAGTAAAAGTAATGATTTTTATATTGTAGCTAGTTAGCATGATGTTTAATCTACATGCATATTAATAATATGATTAAAAAACTTTTTAATTTTAATTGAGACTATACTTTGATTGAAGTTAAAAACTTCAGTATGATTGAATAAGAATGTGCCAATAATTGAGACTATACTTCGATTAAAAGTAAAAACTTTATCAAAAATTAATCATATTATATTTTGGTAATGTTAATAGTTTTTAACTGATAAAGAGATTAAACGAATAATAAAACACATGATTGATAGGCATAGTAAAAATTTAATTGAGATCATTCATACATTGGGTTGTTGAACTTACTATTGATATAAGAAAGAAAAAAGTTTCTTACTTTTAATTGAGCTTGAGCTGGCGACTTTTGGCTACTAGAGAGGAATGTAAAATAAAAAAAACTATTGGAAAAACTTTGTATACTGATTAATTTGGAAAAGCTCAAGACAATAATTAATGTAATTGAATACATAATATATTTAGGTAACTAATATAATAATCCTTGATTGAAAAAAAAAAAAACAATGAAATCAACCGATTGTTCACATGAGTGATTTTATTCTTGTCTTTTCAAATTTGATTGTCTTTCCTGCTGAGGGTATTATGTAGTTATTTAATCTTTTATTTTATTTTTTACTTGTTTATCTTCTATATTATTTTTTGAATTTAATTGACTCTAACCATTTTTGTATAGTTATTATAAAGAACTAATTGTTTTTTTTTTATTTTTAAAAATCAGTTTGGTATCATTGGGAGACGAAGGTTGAATTTTTTTTTTCTCTTTCTAATTTGTAAACTAAAAAGCTTGACAATACTGAAGAGTTAGATTGCTATATAAGTAGTAGATTTAATTTTTTTGACACTTTTAAACAACAAAGTTAATCAACTCACCTATAACGTTCTCTTGAAAAATTTTAATTTAAAATGAATTTTTTGGTCATCGAGTGGGGTGGGGGGGGTTTTTTTCACTCGCATAACGACCCCTTAACCCTTATGAACCTTTGTTTTTACAAGCCTCACCAACTAGTTTGGTGTATTACTTAGTTGAGTGTTGGTTATTATTTGTGTTTAGTGTAAAAGTGACCTAAAGCCCTCTCGAGATTTTGAATTTTTGAATTTTGCTTTGTAGTAAGTAACTAGGTGACTTGCATAATTTTAAGAAAAAGATTAGATTAACTTTCATAGATATATCAAATTATCCACTTAGTCCATTTGAACAATTTCCTTACTCCTTTCGAACATATCAAAATTTACTACAAATTAGTTCAGAAACATTTCCTTTTAGATAGAATAAATTGAGCAAAAATTAATATATATAGCAAAATATTTCAATAACTGAATCAATTAAAAATTAAAAAAACAAATTGATCATCTCCGTGTCATGTGCAACCATTTTTTAAAAATAGTTTATTAAAACAATTGTCACAAGAGTCAAACAATGTCCAGACAACTATAAACAATTCATTGTCAAGATAATTCTCATCAAGGCTACTACAGAACCACAATCTAAAGTAAATATTATTCGTCAACTTTAACAAGTTTGTGACCACACCTTCACCCTTTGAGAAAAACAAAAATTATAAAAATTTGAAATAAAAATGACTACCTCCCTACTTGATGTGAAACTTTTTGTTTTTTTTTTTTTTTAAACCAACTAAGGTTAGCTCTCTCAAAAATGCTTTTATCTGTACGTAGAAAAAAATCACATCAATGACTTCTTGGTGAATATTCCTAAACAATTCAGTCAAAACAAAAGATTCATTTCGAAACCCCAACAATGAGTAACACTAAGACTATAATATAGCAACATACTACAAAATTTTAATAAATAGTCCTTCTCAAGAAAGAAAAGGGTTTTTTTTTTAAAGATTTTTTATAGATGAACTTACTTAAAAGAGAAAAATTTTTGATGATTAGTTTAAGATTAACTTTTGTTTTTATTTAGTCAAGAACATCAAATAAGACAAAACCGTCTAATAACTCGTGTTTTGAAGTTTAAAAAATAGTGTCTAACAAAATAACATCTATGATAAACATGCTAAATGCTAAAATCATATTAACTTTATTCTAAATGATCAATGTTACTCTAAAACCAAAAACCGTTTAAACATTAAGTACTCGTACCCTGCCTAAACGCTTAACGTATTAAATGCATGTACGAATAATATGTGTATGTCGGTTGTGTTGTGTTCTCTTTATTTGTGAAGATCACAAAAGTACAAATCTTTTTCAAATATTTTGTATTGGATTAGAAGAACTTTAAGAGATAGGAAGACATTATGGGAATGTCTCATCAAGTGCTTTACACTATGCTCATTCGTACAAGCTATCTCTGAAAAAACACATAACATTTAACTTCATACCAAAATGGTACCTATCAATGAGAAAGTCAATGCTTCTAAGTAACAAATATTTTTCGAAGAAGGATAAATAAAGAGGATTGTATGAAGAGAAGAATCAAGAATTATCATTACTATTATGTTGTCAACATTTTCTTTCACTTACATAGTCTAACGCATTCTTTGAAAAGAAAATCTTTGTTACAAGTTTTCAAATATTCATTTTATTGAAAATTTATCTTCTTTATACGAGAGTTATTATTTGTATTTGTTTTTCATAAAAAACACTTTGTTGTTTTTTGTAGAATCAAAAGTTATTTAAAATGCTTGTTTTTGAATTCAATGGAGTTAAACGATATAATCAATTCGACTATTTGTAAACCAAAAATGGTGAAACTCGTTTAGTCAGTTAGAGTAGTGTAAAACTGAAGTGATTAGACTCGTTCTAACAATTTTAAAGATAAATAAAACTCTTTAAGAATGCTTAAGGGAGAACTGGACACAACTTAATTTGGAGTGAACCAATATAAAACAAGTATTCTTTCCTCTTATAGTTTTTAAAAGCCTTCTAAACTCGTCTTAAAATCTTGAAGTGTTCAATATTATGCGTAGACCGTTTAATCCCTGTAAATAACATCTAACACTCTTTTGCAAAAAAAAGTTTTAAACTTTGTTCAAAATTTCTCTTTTAGAATTTATTTTGTATTTCATTATTTTATGTCAAGATCTCTCTAATACTTTATGATCTTAAAAAAATGAATAAAAGATCATAGATCTTAAAAAAAAAAAGGAATGAAAAGGTGATAGTTTCTAAAAAAGATGAGATACTTCATAAACCAAAAAAATATTAATTGACTTTTCTATTTATGAATTTTGTATTTTAATAATAAAATATTCAAATTAAATTTATACAATATCACTAATACTTTTACAAATCCTTATATATTTAATAAAATAGAATAAAATAACTGAAATCATCTTTAAATAATAAAAAAAATATTAAAAATTTATTAATTGAGTAACTACATTTAATTTTTATTTAATAATAATTATTACTCACAAATATATTTAATATTACTTTTTAATAATAATTATAATTTAAAATAAGTATTAANTGTGGATAACACAGGTATTACATGGGTTTATTTGGTTCCTCCGAGTCTCTCCTTGGACAAATTAGTCTGCTACTGTCTTTAACCTGCTAACAAGTACAATATGACTAGGCACCAAAACATCATCAATAACATCTTTAAAGTGTAAAAAGCTCCTTAAAAACTCTTCCAAATGCCTATTATTTCATTAACCAATTTATGTGAATTATTAACTAATAATAAAGTCATGATTAGCTAATATAAAAAATAAGCAAATTTTGTGGCCAAATAATATTACTAACTTTTATGCTTATTTACAGTATTTTGCTTAAAAAAGAAAAATAATTTGGATTGATGATTATGCTTTACTGGTTTGCAGGATTTTGTGCAAGTTATGTGAAGTTACTGCCTGCAATGAAGACATACGAATATGGCTTTCGTGTGTTTTTGTTGACGTTTTGTATTGTATTGGTATCTGGGAGAACTAGCAGGGAATTTTTCTCCACAGCCTTTTATAGATTAATTCTTATTGCAATTGGTGCTGGCATATGATTGTTTGTAAATATTTTCATATTCCCCATCTGGTCTGGAGAGGATCTGCATAAATTGGTGGTGAAAAATTTCAATGGAGTTGCTGCATCTTTAGAAGGTTTGCTTGAATTTTTCTCATGTGGTTCGAACCTATCAAAGATTTGTAATCGTTGTTTTGCCTAGTTCCTTTGTTGAATTTGATGTTTTTGTCACTCTGAGCTGGTTCCTTTGTAACTATGTTTAGGCTGTGTTAATGGGTACCTACAATGTGTTGCATATGAGAGGGTACCTTCAAAAATTCTTGTTTATCAAGCCTCAGATGATCCACTCTACCGTGGCTATAGAGCAGCAGTTCAATCGTCAAGTCAAGAGGATGCTTTGGTATACATATTCTTTACTTCTCATCTATCTGTTCGTCAAGTACCTAAATACCAAAACGAGTGCTACATTTTTTTGATTTTATCTTATCCTCGCAGGTAGATTTTGCATTATGGGAGCCACCTCATGGTCCATACAAGACATTCAATTATCCTTGGAGAAGCTATGTGAAAGTCAGCGGAGCTTTGAGGCATTGTGCTTTCATGGTTATGGCAATGCATGGATGCATACTTTCAGAAATTCAGGTAAAAGGAACATTTCTTTCCGTGGTCTATGCTAGATATTGGCTTTGTTGTCATTTTCGTTGGTGAACTTTTGGCAAGTAATGGGCTCTGCACGCTGTAAATTTACCTGATTTAATGCTTTTTTTTTAACTGTATCTTCATAGAATTATTGAAGGAAAGTTCTAATTAATAATTCTGTTTAACCATGTGCTTTTACCCATAGGGTATGGGTTGCTCTGGTACCAATTGAAAGAAAATCCTAAAAAGTAATAATTGTGCACAACTATATATTAATGGTTAATGAACCCATAATTCATGATGTAAAAGAATGCGAAAGTATATGAGTTTGTTATTAGGAATGATTTGGATGATGAGATTAATCACATATATGTAATCTTCCAAACGTAGAGAACCTTGTCGCATTTGTTATCTCTTATGATAGGAGGAAAACAAAACCCAAACACATAACATAGTAAGTAATGTTCCATTCTCTATAAATGGAACCATAATCCATTTTATAACGGTTTCAGTCACATTTTAGATTTTAATAATTCTAATTTAGTCTCTTGNATATTTATCAAAAGAAAAATTATTTTCAATATTAATAAAATTATTATAGTTAAAAATTTGTATTAAAATTGTTGATTTTTTTCTTTTTAATTATTATATTAAAAATAAAATGTATCAATACTTCTTATACAAAAACCAATCATCTACTTAATATTTGAAAGGATCATTTGTTCCATATTTTTAGGGGTTTGGTTCAAAGTAATCTTACTAAGACCTCGTATTTCGTTAAAAAATGTTCAATCTGGTCTTTTTGTTCACGCCGTTAAAAACATAACGGTGCAAATGTCAGCGTGACATTAACAGGTGGACTTAAATGATTTTTTAATTTAAAAAACAAGTCTCTGCCACGTCATCATCACCATTTCTAGACAAACCCACCGTAGCCGCCGCACCATCCAGCGCCGTCACCGCCATCCTCGTCGGCAGCCGTCCTCTACAATGCATCACACGCCACCACCAAAGTTATGCGACGAGAATGCGAGAAACCCTAGGTCTCCACGGTTTGCTTGTAGGTCTGATTGTGGTTGCAGGTGGAGGCAAGCAGCGGCGCGATTAGTGGTGGAGAAGAGTGGCGATTCGTGATCTGCAGCAACTGGCGATTTGGCTGGCGGTTAGCGGTGGACGATTCTGTGGTGGAGATTGGACGGCAGTGTTGTTGGCGCGACGACGATTTGGCTGGTGCGAGGGTCAAAGTGATGAAGATTAGTGGTTGCGGCATAGCAAGGGATCGCGGTGGGTGGTGGCGCGAGAACGAAGGTGAGATGCGAAGGTGATGGAGGTGCAACAAAAGGGAGAAGACGCTTTGGTGGTGGCGAGTGATGTGTTTGAGAGGATGGTTGTCGGCGAGAATGACGGTGACGGCGCTGGATGGTGCAGCGGCTAGGGTTTCTTAGAGAGAAATTAGGGTTTGTCTGGAGATGGTGATGATGACGTGGCATTTGCACCGTTATGTTTTTAAGGACGCGAGCGGAAAGGACCGAATTGAACATTTTTTAACGAAATATGGGGTCTTACTGAACAATTTTAAAAGGTAGGATTACTTTGACCAAATGATGTATTAAACCTATTTGAAACTACAAAAGTGCTGTACATTCCTCTTTGTGGATAACACAGGTATTACATGGGTTTATTTGGTTCCTCCGAGTCTCTCCTTGGACAAATTAGTCTGCTACTGTCTTTAACCTGCTAACAAGTACNTTATTGAAGGAAAGTTCTAATTAATAATTCTGTTTAACCATGTGCTTTTACCCATAGGGTATGGGTTGCTCTGGTACCAATTGAAAGAAAATCCTAAAAAGTAATAATTGTGCACAACTATATATTAATGGTTAATGAACCCATAATTCATGATGTAAAAGAATGCGAAAGTATATGAGTTTGTTATTAGGAATGATTTGGATGATGAGATTAATCACATATATGTAATCTTCCAAACGTAGAGAACCTTGTCGCATTTGTTATCTCTTATGATAGGAGGAAAACAAAACCCAAACACATAACATAGTAAGTAATGTTCCATTCTCTATAAATGGAACCATAATCCATTTTATAACGGTTTCAGTCACATTTTAGATTTTAATAATTCTAATTTAGTCTCTTGTCAAATTAGAATATTATTTTAGATATCCACCCAACAACCTTTGATGATAATTATGCCCTTAGTCATAAACGTAATATTAACACACCACTTCATAATTTTGACTAACCAGATAATGACTCTAACACTTTTAAATAATATATGTGACCCAAAAATTCTAATAATCTTCCACAGGTCACATATATATATCCTTACAAATGTGTTAAACTTTATGAGCTCAAATTTGACATTATATTCCTTGGACATAATGAAACAATCTTGTCTATTAATTATATCAATATATATAACCAAAACAGTTTTTGTTATAGTAATCATAACTAAACTCGTCAATGATCACTAATATTGACACAACCAAAAGACAGACACATCATTAAATGTGTAGTATAAAAATAACATAAAGTTGACATGTACATGTCAATTTCCAATTGGTCCTACTTTAGCTTAGTTAGATCAATCAACAATGTTATAACGTGTAATGATTGAATATCAAACTTTATATTTGATTAAAAGAAATTATCCAAACACAAGAGTATGCATGCATAATAACAAACATAGATCATAAATCACATAAATGACTAACTTTCATTGAACTAAAAATTCCTCCCACGGATCAATTATCATGGAGTGTATCCATGTATGTTATATGGAAATCTGGAAATCTGTCCACTTTGTACTCTTTTCTTGACAACTAGGAACCTAATGTCAATGCATTTTGACTTGATCAAACTCTTATTATTGTTGGAATACAAACTATTGATTTGTTGTTACAATATAACTTTAAGTGGTCTTTCAATTCCTTTAACAATTTGCAACCCAGTAGTAAAGTTCCTCAGCCAAATCCCATGATTGCAATCCGGCCAAACATTAATATTCTTTTGGGTAGATCAATACTCGCATAGATACATAAACACAAATATTTAATATTTCTCACGAACAATCTATTCAAGAGAGATCACNGTAAGTAATGTTCCATTCTCTATAAATGGAACCATAATCCATTTTATAACGGTTTCAGTCACATTTTAGATTTTAATAATTCTAATTTAGTCTCTCATCAAATTAGAATATTATTTTAGATATCCACCCAACAACCTTTGATAATTATGCCCTTAGTCATAAACGTAATATTAACACACCACTTCATAATTTTAACCAATCAGATAATGACTCTAACACTTTTAAATAATATATATGTGACCCAAAAATTCTAATAATCTTTCACGGGTCACATATATATCCTTACAATGTTAAACTTTATGAGTTCAAATTTGACATTATATTCCTTGAACATAATGAAACAATCTTGTCTATTAATTATATCAATATATATAACCAAAATAGTTTTTATTATATTATTCATAACTAAACTTGTCAATGATCACTAATATTGACACAACCAAAAGATACAAACTCATCATGAAATGTGTAGTATAAAAATAACATGAAGTTGACATGTACATGTCAATTTCCAATTGGTCCTACTTTAGCTTAGTTAGATCAATCAACAATGTTATAACACAAAGTGTAATGATTGAATATCAAACTTTATATTTGATAAAAGGAAATTATTCAAATACAAGAGTATGCATGCATAATAACAAAAACATAGATCATAAATCACATAAATGACTAACTTTCATTAAACTAAAAATTCCTCCCACAGATCAATTATCATGGAGTGTATCCCTGTATGTTATATGGAAATCTGTGCACTTTGTACTCTTTTCTTGACAACTAGGAACCTAATGTCAATGCATTTTGACTTGATCAAACTCTTATTATTATTGGAATACAAACGATTGATTTGTTGTTACAATATAACTTAAGTGGTCTTTCAATTCCTTCAACAATTTGCAACCCAGTAGTAAAGTTCCTGAGCCAAATCCCATGATTGCAATCCGGCCAAAACATTAATATTCTTTTGGGTAGATCAATACTCGCATAGATACATAAACACAAATATTTAATATTTCTCACGAACAATCTATTCAAGAGAGATCACTTTGGTAACTTCTTGATTCAATTAGTTCATTTAAAATGTTAAACTACCAAAATTTGAACCTTTATGTGCCAAATCCAAAGAAAACAATAATAATAAAATAAAATAAATCATAAAATGAGTTTTATCACGAATTTGGAAACCACCAATTTAAAACCGTGCTTTATGCATATTCATATATGGGACCCAAATTTCAAAATTTTCAATGACCTTGCTGAGCTCACTGTTTTGATTAATTTTTACCATGCATCAACTGCTGACCAATGAAAATATGGGTACTTAATTTATCAGGCTGAAAAGCAATCAAACACAATAAGTCTGCAGAGAAAGGAAATTGTGTGATGATCAATCGAATCTATATATTAAGGAGTGTGCAAATGTTGCATTATTAATTATTTCCAAGGAACCAATGCATTTACATTAGGGCAATGAAAACATATCTGTATTAGAGGAAGATCTTGGTATTTTTAAGCAAGGCAGATTGGTTTATTCCAAAGTGTTTGAGGTAGAGTTCTGCTGAGCCGTTAGATTTCAGAAGATACTTGAGTTGAGTAATGACTAAAATACAAAACAATATTAATTTCACGATTTATATTTCCTGTTTGATGGCTCAAGTGCCATTCTCTCAACATCTTCTCAAATGCTTGTATTTTCTCTCAAGACTCCTATTAAAGTCCAAGAATAGCATCAATTACTAGTCTCTGGTATCATCCTACTACTACTAAGATACAATAATTCTGTTCTTTTCCTTTCTTTCACCCCATATTTAAGATAAGATTGAACATGTTACATTTTGTTCCTTTTGATCTACATCCCCTCGTTTTATTTATTTATTGTTTTGGTCGTGTGTAGGTTTTACTATTACATTGTTGGTTTTCAAATTTCATATATATACAGGCACCCCCGGAAAAAAGGCTGGTTTTCAGTAACGAACTTCAGAGGGTTGGCACTGAAGGAGCTAAAGTATTGCGTCAACTTGGAAGCAAAGTGGAAAAGATGGAAAAGCTGAGCCATATTGATATACTCTTGAACGTGCATGATGCAGCTGAGCAATTGCAGATGAAGATTGACCAACAGTCATTCCTCTTAGTCAATTCAGAAAGCTGGCAAGCTTCAAAAAAGCCTAAAGAAGTTGAGAGTCATGACAATTTGATTGATCTTAAAGACCATGAAAACAAACACTCACTCATCTCTTCCCTCAGTGAAACAGGGGCTGACTCAAGACTTAACATAGGTATAGAGTCTTCCGTTCCTGAATTGCACTTTTCACAAAGCATGATGTGCAAGAAAATATCTTGGCCACGCCTATCATTTTTAGGAGATAACATGTTACTTGAGCAAGATTCCAAAGTATATGAAAGTGCAAGCTCTTTGTCTTTGGCAACCTTTGCTTCCCTTTTAATAGAGTTTGTTGCGAGGCTTCAGAATCTCGTGGATGAATTCCAAGATCTCAGTGAGAAGGCCAATTTCAAGGACCCGTTTGACCAAACAATATTAAAGTAGGTGACAATGACACCATATGGACCACATTTGCAACTTTATTTCAGTATTCGAGGTATCTATAATATTATATCTGTGTATCTAACTATAATGTATAATGATATATCATAGTCCATCCATAATATATATATATATATATAGGTATATATATATATATATATTTCTATAATGATATAGCAGTTATTCCGCATTTTTCTTAAATTTTCATTTTTATTTCTTGCAAATTGTAGTTCTGATCTATTTTACTTTTCTTTATTTCATTTTTCTACCTCATGTTTTTCATTCTTTTTTTTTTGTTCTCTAATAGATATAATTTAATTTTTCCGTAGTTATTTTTCAATTTTCTTAAACAAATAAATACGAAAGTACATGAACTTTTGTTACTTGTTTTGGTTTTTAAGTATTATTTATTTATTTGTTCATAATTTAATTATCTTATAATGTTACTCTTGAAACTTATTATAAAAAGTATTTAAATATATATATTTAATTTTATTTTATGTTCTATTAATCATATATTTTAATTTTATTTATTATAATAGTATTAGTATAGAATGTTAAAATAAATGAGAAAGAATGTTAATGACCTCTGGATTCCATTGGTCGAGACTGATCCATGGCCAAACAGTTAGGCTCCTGTCTCAGAATTTTAAATGTTGGCATTAATGGAAATAAATGAATTTAGGGTGGAAAGGAATTCTAGAGACGATTTTTTTTTTCCCCTAATTTTCATGATGTTAAGGAGCATTGAATGTAACCTTGTAAAATGTCTCAGGGGCAATCATTTTTGGGAACTTTTGGGAATTTAAGAACTGTTCTGTTGGTGGCCAATTTGATGCTTCATGGTCTCGTGTTCACTGTCATTTTTCCTTTTTTCAGTGTGAAGATCCTTTCAAGGGGTTGGAGCAAGTCCTGGATCTTGAAATGAAATTATCGCTGATTCTTGTTCCCTCATTTCGTCATGGATGCGTAGTTTAACCTGACCAACCTAGTTCGATGCTTAATTGAAAACAGATTTTTACAAATACTTACAAGACGGCTTGTGTTATTTATAAGTTCGATTACGTTTAATTATAGATTCGTATCTCCACGCATTAAGTATGATTTTCCAATGCAACACCCTCAGATGACAAGTATATTTGGGGCTGCTGAAGAATTAATTATTAAGTAAGTAAATTCCAATTTCTTTACAACATTTATGCATGAGTTTAAATTGGAAATCGTACCAAAGTTATACACCAATTTTCTTAACATTATCATGGTACTATATTATGTTTTAGTTTTAAATGTAACAAACTTAGTCCGTTTCTATGTATTTTTCTTTTTATAAATGCATACATCCTCTGTTTGCAGAGCACACGTTAGACTTCATTCTATGCC